TTGGTGCTAGTGACGATTTCCCATTCAGATGATGATATTTGTTGATGTTGATTTTTGGGGTTCCAATTTTCAGGATTATGAATAGATGAGTGTAAGTTGAGATTATCTGCACATTTATCATGTAACGTTAAATTTGGTTTAGATGAGTTGAATGTGAGTATTGTTTGATTTTCTATATTAGATAATGATGTTGTAATGATGTTGTTGTTAATTTCTGTATCCATGTCAGATGTGATATCATTGCTAGTCGTATAACCTGCCAATTCTGATGTTGTTGATTCATTATCTTCAGAGGAAATTTCCATTTCTGTAGTGTATGTATGTTTAATTTTTTTAGCGTGAGAGCATGTGAGTGGTTTGCTTGTGTGTGAGTAAGGTTTGGATTGGGTATTGCCTTTCTTGGATTCAGAAAGTGCATCTGAAGCATTGCTGGATGTGTTAGTAGGAGTTTGCCGTTTGGTATTTTCTTGATGAGATGAAATACCTATAGTTTCAGAAATGCAGCTCAAGATAGAAGAGGAAGAGTTAGTAGAGCTGTTATTATTTTTTTTGTTAGACATATTAGTTTATTTGTGTTAGTTTTATGTGGAAGTAAATATAAATTTGATATGTAGAAACAAAGAAAAGAAAGAAAAGAAGAAGAGACTTTTATTTTTATGGTTTTTTTGTAATTTTTGGAATATTTTTGTGAAATTTTTGATTTTTATGTTTTTCGTAAAGGGAAACAAGTAAAAGAGAATAAAATTTGAGAAAAGGAAAAAGATTATAATGCAACAAGTTTGTTTAATGAGTTGTTAAAGGAACAGACTTCTTTTCTTAGGGATTGTGAAGTGTTTTCGCACTTTTAATTTTGTTTCTCTCTCTGATCAAAGAATCGACATGGGAAAGATGTAAAAAGAAGTTCATATTGATTGTTGTTATAATTATTATTGCACTGATTATAATTATTATCTTTCTTGCTAAAGCATTTTGCTGCGATGTATCCAATTTTATCACAGTTATAACAAGTGATAGGTAAGTTATTATTATTATTATTATTATTATTATTATAATTATTATTATAATTATTTTGTCATTGATTATTTGAATAGTTTTTATTATTATTATTATTATTATTATGATATCTGTTATTTGATGATTTTGATTTTGGCTATTATTAGAAATTGTTAAATTTTTTAATTTTGTTGCAAAAGCTGCAAGTTGTTACGAGAATTGGTTTAAACTATTTTTCATTGGTTGTTGAATTACTGGGACATTTAATAGGCTTGTTGTTGGAGTTGTATTAATATTATTTAAATCAATGAATTGTTGATAGCTTGATCCATATAATTGAGCAGTATGGATAGTATCATCTAAAATAGCTAGTCGAGTTGGACTAACAAAGAATTTTATTTCTGGTTTTAATCCTTCAATGAACATCATTACTTCAGATGTTCTGGGTATCCATTATCTGAATCAATATGATGAAGTAATTCTCTTACAGTGGCAGAATATTATTCTACTGTTTTAGTTGATAATTGATTTAATTGTTGTTGCCATTCATATACCTTATCAATAGTTCTAAATTTTTGTTTAAATTAATAGGTAAAGGAAGCTGCTAAATCTCCTAGATCAGCAGGATTATTTGGATTTCATTGGATTGGTCAATCTGCTATTAAGACTCTTTTACTAGCTAACCATGTTCCAGCAGATCCTTTTAAATATGCGCCAATAATTTGTCGCTTTCTGAGATCAGAT